ACTAATTGTAATTTTGGCTACTGCCATTGATTATCTCTATGTTTTTAATATTGATAAAAATATGAGTACATTTTTTAAAAGAGTGACTAGTAAGCTTTTTGAAATAAAGATGATTCTCATTCAAGCATCGACTCAGTTGATTGTGTACTTGTCATTGTAATGATTAATTAACAAGGGAAAGATAAACTTTCCTTCTCTGTATAAAGAATTTAAAAATCATTTCTTCACAGTAACGGCCTTGTGATAGAAACTAGTAGGACTGGAGGCTTCTTAAGACCTGTGTCCAGTGTTTTCAGATGTTTCTGTAGACTTCTCCTATTTCAGGAATTGTTAATACCTAGTGGTGCCAGACTGAAGAAAAGGGACACTTCTTATCTTACCGATGAAGAAGCCCATGTTACATTTTGGGAGCCCTCAATTCACAGAGCAGGTAAGAGAGAGATCTGCAAATAACTGTCCTAAAAGACTTGGTGTTAGGGATCACCAACACCATAGTGTCTGCGATTCAAATGACTGGGACATTTTCTTGATCGATGAAGTCTTGGTTTCAATCAGTGAAATAGGGACAATGATTAAGGAAGCAGTTGAATTAATTTCCTATCTCCTTTCACTTGTTTCACACTAGAATAAGGGATGCTTTCTTTCCAAATACAATCACATGCATCCCTTGTGGACAAGAAAGGAATGACTTTCTGTGACTTCAACCATTTAAAGAGGCATGTTAATAGCCTTAAGAGGAAGGACATACACATGTGTCTTTGATGATGAAGAACATGTGGATATGACATAATGTGGTCTACAGTGAACTCACAACAGGAAATACAGAAAAAAAAGTTTATTCCATAGTGTGATTAAAAGTCTCACAAAGCCATAACAAGAACAGAGAAATGCACACACTACCAGACTGAGAGCTTGAGTTACTTCTTGAAAGATTGTTTGGCTACTTATTCATACTAACGTTTTAGGGTATAGGATGCATTAGGTGTGTTCCAGACAGAGGGTGCAGCATAATTTCTAGGAGTCTGTTTTGTGACTTTCATATTATGAATGTTCTTTAATCGATGTAAAGGCCCTTTGTCATCTGAACAAATCTCAGCCCGTATAGCATCTGTGAAACACTTTCTTTCCTGCCATACTTGAGTCTTCCAGAGGGCAGACACTTGCAGATGCCAGTCTTGATGAAATTGGATTTCATGGAAATCTTCTAAAAATTGGATGCCTGTCCTGGAGAAAGTGGTATGAAAGTGAGGAGATTTGGTTTGACTGAGTTATTTGCATGGTTTACCTCAAGAGAATGAAAGATTACTAAATTGTCACTTGGGAAAGGAAAACTTGAAATTAAAAAAAAAAATCTGTTCAGAGCTAACTTTTTGCAAACACAGGCGTGTCCAATTTTTACTCATTAAATAAGCTTTTTAAAATAGTTTTTTTGGAAGAAGCATTTCATTACAGCTTTAACATAGTCAATAACAGTTTCCAGAGCAAAGATACACCTCTTTCAAAAGTGGCTATGCAAGTTTTAGGTTCGCTGTTGAAATAATACAGTTATACAATATTGAACTCAGTATAAGCCCTTTAAGACATAAAATTGAATGAGTTTTTAACATTTAAAAAAGATCTCCATTTCATTTTAAAATATACTGTTTCTTACAGAAAGACTCATTGTTTTTGCTAATAACACTGAGATGTTGACGCATGCGTCTCTCATCTGTTTACGGGCCAAAAATTTTTAAGATGTATCTGAGCCCCCAAAGATTTACTGGGGGCTTGGGGATATGACTAGTTGGTAAAAGCTCTTTCCATGAAAACATGAAGAACTGAGTTCAAATCCTCAGACCCACATAAATGTTTGAGATGCATATTATTTGGAATACTGGGCTGGAGAAATATCTCAGTGGTTAAGAACATAGGCTACTCTTGCAGAAGACCTGGGTTGGAGTTTCAGCACCTACATGGTGGTTAACAATCGTCCATGATCCTCCTCTGTCCTCCATGAGCACTGCACAACATGGGTGCACTTACATATATGCAAGTATAACACTTGTACACATAAAATAAAATAATTAAAAATGATTTGGGATACTTACACAATCAACACACATACACACATACACACACAGAGAGACAAATACCTCTTGAAAATACTGAGCTAGACCCTCTTGCAAAGTCCACAATTAGAGGGGCAGCATGCTGACTTTACCAATCTGATAACACCATTTTAAAAATCTTAAATTTTGTCCACTCAGTCAGCACAGTCATGTTCTGGGACTAGTCCAGTTCGGCTCCTGATAGCCTGACTAGTGAACCTCTCACCACTCATCAAAGAAGCTGCTTTTTGCAACAGATGAGCACTATTACAAAATTCCACAACTTGTCAAACACAGAGAATAAGTGTTTGTGAGGTACCTAGTTCTAAATAACACATCTACAATGCAAATTCTATACCTACATCTCAGGGAAATAGCAGAACAGGGGGCAGAAAAACATTAATGCATCTCTCTATTCTCACCAGCAAAGTTCCCTCATTCACCAGAAAGCCACAACTTGCCAAAGTACAGAGAAGAGACTGCTGAGTGCTTACCCCTGAATAGGACACCTTTATCAAACCTCTGCCACCCAAAGCTCTCAGGGATCATTGCAGTAGAGAGAGCATAAAGATTGTAAGAGCCAGAGGTGGTGGATGACCACAAGGAAACAGTTTCTGACAGCTGTGAAATTGCTCATGTGAACTTACGGCAGTGGTAACAGCATGCACAAGACCCATGGAAGCTCACACCAGACAAAAATCCGAGCACAGAAATGAGGAAGTGGGTAGGAAGCCTCAACCTTGACTGAGGAACTCTTGGCAACATATAAGCACTGGGAGAAAGATAATCTATTTGTGTTAAGTGTTTGACCTTAGATAGGTTAACTAGGCTCCAGTGGATGGACTCACACTGAGAGACATTTGGGGTCATAAATTTGACCCGATATGCCTTAATATATAAGACAGAGTACATGAAATCTGTGTGGGCTATAAGAGGGGTGAGGTTGGGAAGGGGATCTAAATATGATCAAAATATATTTTATGAAATTTCCAAAAATTCAATTAAATCATCCCACAAAATCTTAAATTTTGAACAGTAAACATGTTTTTATTTTTCCCTTCTCTGAAAATTATGTAGCCAGCTTTGTTCTTTTGTGCAGCTATTCACTTGCCAGTCAATAACATTGCTAAAAAGTCTTACTTTCTAGTTAGGTCAGGTGGAAATGTCTCAGATAATTCCTTTCCCACAGCTTTACACTTAGAGTACAAGGGGGAGATGGTCATAACCTTAAATCAAAAAGCAGATTAGCTTTTCTCCTTGGGAAATTTGACCTGCCCCTCTTATCTTGAATCCTTTCTAGAAAAATAACCTATAGAAAATGAAATTATATTTGATTAAGGGAGGCAAATGAGAGCTGCAGTAGTTACAAAGTGTCACAAGACTTCTCACCATGCACAAACCTTTGACATGTGACAGTCCCTCTACTTCCGGCAAGAGGTGTAGTCTGCTTCTGTTGCTGTGACTCTGGTTTAGATGTGTTCTGTTTCTTTTCATGACTAAGAAACATAGTAGACATGATATAGGGCTAATATTGGCCTAGGCCTGGCAAGAATTTCAGGTTCTGTTTTCCTGTGAAAGACTGAGATCACCAAGGGGGAGAGCTTGAACTAACCACCTGGAAGATGAGGAAATGTGGAGGGAGGGCCCAATAACTGCTAGCACCAATCACTTGTGTGAATGGGGCCATATTGGGTCAGTAGCCAGAGAACTGAAGCCACGAGTGGCTCTAAGCAGAACCAGCAGAACAACCTGAGCCCAGTCCAAGTGCTGTGCCAGATGATTGTAAGAAAGAAATATATGCTTATATAATTTAAGTCACTGTTAAAATGGTTCTATATACACTAGTAGATATAGTAAGAAGGAAATATTTTATACTGGGGCCTTACATGTATTTCCAACTCATTTATTCTCAGTTCTCAGCTCATGTCTTTCCTTTTCTTATAAGGAATTGGGAGGAACTACTGGAATTTTGTGGGGGGTTACTTACAGTCCATTGCTGTTAATATTGACTGAAAATAGGATCCCTGATTTTTAACAGCAGGAAATTTTTCTAACTTGACACCATCATTCATCCAATTATCTAAGGTCAGAATTTTGAGTTAGCTAACCAGAAGAAAAAAGAAAACACGCAGAAAAATATGGTTACATATGTAACATCCTCCAGACCATTTCCAAATTATATCTGTAGTTGAGTTCTCATGGATGGGCCCTAGAAAACCTTTCTTCTCTGGTCTCTATAAGTGATGCTTATCACAGATGATCAAATCATTATCAAATAGAGCAATCTAATGACAGCAGTGATGACTGGCATCCATGCTGGTCAAATATTGCACAGGCTCCTCTGATTTCCTTGGATTCTCACAGATGTTGACAAACAAGAGTGAAAGTAATGTGTGACACTTGCAGCCTAAGAGCCAGTTTTATCCTTCATCCTTTCTTGGCATTACAACATCAGAGGCCACACAAACCAAAGGGACCTTCTGTACCAGCCTAGATCTGTGAATGTGGGAACCGTGACCCAAAGCACAAAAGAAATGTTAGATCTAACCCACCAAGATTTTTGAGTTGTGAGCCTGACTTAGGATTACTTTCCTTAATAAATTAATTTTCTTATTTTTCTCCTTTTTTTCTTCTTTTATTTTTTAATATTTTATTTAATATTTTTACTTTATGTGTA